TAAAGGTAAAATCGTTTCATACAGTTGGTTCTAACTGTAGATTGCATATTAAGATAAATGACATGACGGGTTTCCAGAAGTGAAGCCAAACAATCTACATCACCCCCTGGTTTTTAGTTGCAGAATACATCATAAATCCTCTGATTCTTTAACTTGGCTTAGATTCCATCTACTAACAAAGTAAATCCCAAATGAATTTTGCACAAATACAGTGTCTGTCATGTTAAGTACTGATTATCATGTTGACGTTTGCTCAAGTGTTCATGTTTTTCTAAATGTTAGTTATTTGAGGCTATAAAAAAGGGACAACATGACTGGCTGCTGTGGCTGACAGCTGCTTTAAATAAAGTTTTCATTGCAGCACTAATGGATCTCTGTTCGGAAATTGTACATAAGAACATTGAGGGACTGTTCTTTTCCTTAACCGTGTGATTCATCCTCTGTTTCAAACACTAAATCAGTTGTTCTGCAGTCATCTGGGGAACCTGAGACAAACATCATTAGCAACACTGACTGACGATGCTTTGGCAACCACAATACGTTTGTTTTGCAATAACATCTCTGCTTTTTCATATTTCATTTGAGGAAATACTGTGAAAAGGTAAAAATGTAATACAAATTAATTACTAAAGACAGACACAAAATAGGAATATTAGATTGTAGCATTAGGGGTTTTTCAGAAAGAAAAATACTCTGGGTGAGGTTAAAATGTGAACAATGTCTCATATTTCTCTGTACAAGCAACTTTGAAAAGATGAACAAAATACCTTGACAGGGTTGTAGCCCAATTCAATTGCCTTATCAATGCCTTCCATTACTTTGTGGAACCCTGGAAAAACATATAAAATTTCATCATCATTTCCATTTGTCTATCAACATTTTACATCTGACAAATTAATTGTATACAAGTGTCTTTGAATTTTACACAACCAAAGTGAGTCTGATGTGGAGGAGGCGACTGGAGGGGGGGGTTCTAGGAAAAAGACTGCTTCTGCTTTCCACCTGAAGCTTTTCTTTGTTCACTGACTAAGTCTATGATTTGCCACAAACCACTAATATGTAAACATCTTCAACTAATCCTTCAGCAGCAGCCAGAGCTTTTTAACAGCAAATCGTTGGCTGGAAAGCTTTTGTCGGTGTTTGAACTAGAATTCTCATAATAGCAATTAAGCCTCACGTGTGTCAAACTTTAAATCCTAAATATACACATTAAAGACTAAGAGGCACGGTTTCTTCCAGGCTACACCCTTCTAAAGTCCACTAAACCCCAAACAAACACAAGAAAGCGGGTATTGTGGAAGAGGACTGGCTCGGTCAACGTTTTTGCCCGTGCCAGTCTTTTTTTCTCTCCTTCATTTCCTAATCTCCGTCAGTCCATCTGTGTCTGCCTTCACAAGCCAACCACCCAGAGCTCTGGCCTGCTGTCACCTTCAGCACTCATGTTTAGAGCTTACAGCCTCCTTCAGTAACTTAGTGAGAACAGACCTACTACACTAGCTGCAGGAAAACAGAGGTGGTTTAAGCATTCAGCAGCTAGCGGTTTGAGACTGATTTGGTTCTTTTTCAGTGTGTCTCAAATACACTGGGGAAAAGATGCCAATTTTACTTTAACTGAGACGCCAGTGAGGACAACACCCCAACTTGACATTCATTGACTATTTGTACTCTTGCTTCAACACAAGACACTTCTACAGTCATTTGTACTCTGGCTACAGTATCAGCAATTCCTGTGATTTAAAAAAAAACAATCCTCTATCCTTGTGTCCTTATATCAGTCTCTCTATTTTGTCAATGTATTATTACATTGTTGGCTTCAGTCTCTTATCTGTCATGCATGTCCAACAGCAGATATTATAGGTCAAATACTTTTCCGTACCTTTCCGCCTGACAATAAACTCAAATTTGGCAGGAACCAGTGAATCCAGACTGATGTTAATGAGGTCCAGGCCAGCATCTTTCAGCTTTGGCAAAAGCCGGGCCAAGTTCATGCCATTGGTTGTTACTGCAATAGTTTTCAGGCCCTCCAACTTCCTCAGTTCAGCTGCAGAGAGAGGGCAAACATGGAAACAGAAGAGGAAGACAGGAAAGTGAGATTGAACGAACATAATGAGAGAACTCCTACGCAATGCGGGGATGGGTGCTGAATTTTCACTAGAAGCCGGCTGCACAGGTTGTTTGTAGGTTCAAACTTAACCTATTTTAAACAGGAGTGTTTGCTAAATCACTTAAGGCAGGGGTGTCCAATCCTGGTCTTCGAGGGCCATAATCCTGCATGTTTTAGATGTTTCCCTCTTCCAACACACCCGATTCAAATGATCAGCTCATCATCAAGCTCTACAGAAGCCTGACAACGATCCTGATCATTTGAATCAGGTGTGTTGGAAGAGGGAAACATCTAAAACATGCAGGATTGTGGCCCTCGAGGACCAGGATTGGACACCCCTGACTTAGAATGACTGGTTAACCTCCCATACATGACTCAGGATTGTGGCCCTCGAGGACCAGGATTGGACACCCCTGACTTAAGGGTTACTCTGTCTCAAGTCATCAGGGGCCCCTGTCACTATTTTGCATTACTCTGCTAGCTTCACTCAGCTAGACCATTATGTGCTGCAGGTGGCTATGCAAGACCAAGTGCAACTTAATCCAGGTGATGTACTCTGGTGAGCATCACTTAAAGATGTTTTCATGAAGTAAAGAAACATTACAAGTGTGTTTAATGTAGCCACACTCCAGTATTTTACAAATGTCATGCATGCTTTTAACACCAACTATGTTAATTCATTAAAAACTGAATTTGCTTTAAAAAAAAAAAAAAAACTTACTTTGTTTGATTCAATTACGTATCCGGTTGCTTTCGGTCGATCAACAGATAGATGTGTCTGTGTGCTTTTCTCTTTTTGTGCTCTTTTTCTCTCGTGTACTTTTTTGCGGGTGTTGTGTGGTGTCTGTGTTGTGGTGTGACTGTGATAATTGTTGGTCTTTATGTACCTACTGGCAGCCTATGGTCCTCCTTCGACAAAGACATGACCTATCAGTCACACCACATTCCACTGTTCATTCATGTCATGCCTGATGTTGCTCCAACAAACACTGTTCCCTGAGCACGACTCTTAATGACCGAGGTTGCAGCGGTTGATTTACAAATTAGGCTGTAAAATTTCAATGATTTGACGATACGTCATTAGACCAAGCTCATAACTCTGTGTGACAAATCTATTTCCCTTCCACACACATGTCTCAACTTGAAGGCATGCATTAAAAATCACTTCTGTTGCGCTCTACGCTCACTCCTCTTAGTTCTAGTCTACAGAGTTGCCACATGGATCAGTGATAGTCGTAGACACCAAATGTTGATTCACTCCTCAGAAAAGACAACACTGCAGCCACTTCGTTGAAACTGCATGATGCAAGCTTGTATTTGCTATAAGTTGCTTACATGTGTTGAAACTTCTCAAAACAAACAGCTTTCCCTGTATCTTTTTTTTTTTTTTTTAATTTGCCACCTTAAGCAGCAATGGACATCCTGTCTTTCTTCATAAATTATGAAGTATGACTTACAAAGCACAACACACTTTTAATTTATAACTAGTTTCTTACTGATGATGTCCAGAACATCAGGTCTGATAAGGGGCTCCCCTCCAGTGAGACGGATTTTGTCCACTCCCTCTCGGACAAAGAGTCGAGCCAAGGTTAGCACCTCTGCAGTGGACAGCAGCTGGCCCCGCGGTGTGAGCTTTACCCCCTCTTCTGGCATGCAGTACTGGCCTAAAAATGGGAAAGATCAAAGATGTAAACTGCCACTAAAACTGATACCTTTAGCCTGAAGTAGCAAGAGTTCACATATTGTGATACATAATAAGTGTTATTCTGGTGGAAACTACCATCAGGTTGAACAATTTAGCAACAGGACTTGGCTATTTTTGGCACAGAATGTAATGCTTTTCAATGGAACAAAAATCAATACACTTTAAATATATGATTATAACAAAATGGACACTATTATTCTGTCATTTTGCTCACTGAGTTTTTCAACTTTATCCAATATGTTTATTTGATGGGACATACAGACATAAAATCAGCTTGACTTTGACATCAGGTGGTCTTTTAGTTTTCAACATTATAGTGCTATTACTGATGAACATATTTATGTGATCTGTACCTGGCTGACTCAGCATCAGCTGCTACATGGAGCAACTCCACACATAACTTATTTTCCCTTTTTTTCTCATTCATAATTTCATATTTGTCCAAAGATATTCTTTAACATTCAACCCTATTGTGTAGAACTTTATCACATACAAGCTGAACCTCTAGAAAATGGATTTGTTTCTATAAAAATCGAATATTTATCTCTGCGACTCAGTACTTTCATAAAAACAGGCACTGATTTGGATCAACTGACATTTTCTAACAACAAAATGTCATTCTATTCTTTTAATTTTCCCTGATTTAGC